GTTTCAATTTTGTTCTAAAGTGGCTGTCTCTATGATTTGGTTTTGTTCAGTTTACCAAATGAAAGTCTAATAACCATCTCCATATTTGATTTGAAAATGTGAAAAAAAAAAAAAGAACATTTCACTTCCTGGTTGGTCATTCATCACCATTTCTTCATCCATTATCTTCTTTATATGATCAAACACTATGATTCACATTTTTGCAAGGAAATGTGCAATAGAGAAGGTGAAATGGAAAGGAAAGAAGAGGAATAGGGTTAAAGAGAAATGGGTGTAAAGAGTTATTCAAATCTATTTATTTTGTCTTTTGTCTAATTTTGTACATTAGTAAAATTGGAATTAAAGAACATTTCAAATGACGGGTGTAATGAGTTAAAATCGTTGTGTAAGTTAAATTATCTCCAATTTTGGAGTAAACTTTACTTTTCACTCTTATAATTTGATTTAAATTTTATTTTGGCTTCTATTGTTTCAAGTTGAATAATTTGGTTTTTATATTTTAAGTTTAGTTTTAACTTAGTCATTCTGTTTAAATTTTTGTTAATTTTTATCACGTGTACATCATAGGAAACTTATAAGTGTTGTAAGAATGTTAATTTTAAGCTCAAACTTATACAGAAAGATTAAATTGAAACTAAACTTCAAATGTAAGTATCAAATTGTTCGATTTAAAATAATAGAGATTAAAGTAAAATTTTGATCAAACAATAGGATTAAAAAGTATAATTTACCCTTAATTTTGGTTGAGTAGTGTTTTCCACTTTGTGAACTATGTAGGGCAAGAAAAGGAACTCCGTAGGACAGAGTTTGAAGTTGTGGGGATCAATAGAATTTTGGTTGGTCAAACCTCTTTAGGGAACAAACAAGGCATCTTTTGTCACCCAAGTCTGCTGTGCTTTTCACACATTTTGGTCATAAAAAACTGTCACGAGTAACACATGGTGCAATGACAAAATGTTGGGATAGCTAAGAGTGTGATGACAATGCTGGTTCAGAGAGTTGGAACAAATATATATATATATATATATATATATTTGTTGAAAAGAATGCAAATGTTAAGGTATTGTTTGGCGAGTTTTTTAATTTTTTTTTTGAATATTCTAAAAAATTAAACTATTTAGGTAAATAACGAACTTGTCAAATTATTTATAAAACTCACTTTTTAAAATCGAATATTCAAAACACGATTTTGTAGTGAAATCGCATATTGAATATGTAATTTCATGTTGACATAACCGATATCTGTTCACCATGAAATTGTATTTTGAATATGAGACTTCATGATGAACTCGCATTTTAAACTTGTGTTTTTAAAAAAGTAGGTTAATTTGATAAATTGTTTGAAAAGTGAGTTACTATGATAAATAGTTTGACTTTTTAAAATATTTATAAAAAAAAAATTCATTGTTTGGCAACGTTAATAGTTTATTGTTTTTAGTTTATTAAAAAAATATTAAAAATGTTGGTCTATTTTGGATAAAAACATATATATATATATAGTATATTAAAATGTTATTTTGAAAAGAGGTGAAAATGAGTGGTTATGGGAGGTTGTTATTGACGATTGGAGATGGTGATCGGAGATGGTTGTTGGCCATGGTAAGTAATGGCCGAAGATGATATTCACTTGTGAGATTCTTTATCTTGAGCTCAAAAGGTTGAACTCGATGATGAGATTCTTTACATTCTTTGAGAATTGGATAAAGATATATAAGAGCTCGTTTGAGATGTGGGTTAATTTTTTGATTTTCTTAGCTATTTTAACCTGAGATTAAAAAGTCTCATCTGTGATATGTTTTTTTGGCTTTTTTGATTTTTGTAAGAAAAAAATAAAATAATAATGAGTTAGATGTAAAATTTTGTCATATTTAGCTAAAATAGTCTATTTTGTCTTATATGACTATTTTAGCCCAAAACATCTTCCCAAACAAACTAAAAAATTAAAGAATGATATGATAATTTATGATGACTGTTTTTTTTTTAACTATTTCAATCACTCTCCAAACAAAGCCTAAAAAATTGGAGAGCCCAAATTCCTAACTTTTACACCGAAAGAGAAATTAGTGAGGGACAAAAAAAAAAATCAATGGACCAAACTGTAAAATGTTGGGAAAAGAAGGGGTGGTATGATGCATCCTGGTCAATTGATTGAAATTTTGAGCCCAATCGATCTCAATCTCAATCTCATTTTATTATAATATATAATATAATATCAATTCATTCGTACTCTTTTGTATGGACATGTACAGAGTAAGTGTGTAAAGATCCAAGGGTTACGTGTCAAGGTGATATCAAATTAGGGACTTCCCGAGTTGTTGTGGACCCCATCTTGTCCAACAATTTTTCAGACCGACACTGTTTGCTTGGAGGAATATAAAACTGATTCACGCACATAAATACTATATTCAAATTTAAATGGCTGAATGTACCCTCACACCCTTGACATTTGCCTATAATACTTTTTATTTATTTATTTTAAATTTAAGTTTTGGAAATTATATTGACCATTGTCAAAGTTTGTAGGTTAACACTCCTAGAAAATTTAAAATGACATTTATATCTTTAATCATTGTCTCATAAAAATGAAACTTCTTCTGCACTCCATCCTTATCTTTTAACATACTTCATTAAATATGAGAAAGTTATGTTATCGAAGATAAATAGAACCTAATCACCAACACAATACTTTCCATTGCAAAACCACAACTAGACCTCTACGCCATCAATTCCTTCACCGCAACACCACCATTAGCCTCTAAGCCATTAATTCCTCAATTGTAGCACCACAAGCAACTCTTGAAGCAATCATACACAACCTTGACCCATCGCCTCCTCGCTCTTATTGTGAACCACCTCTTCTAACCCCTTCCCTGTCCCATCTCACCTTCATAGTAAACGATTTTGGTGGTTTTGATGTGTAACAGTGACAATGGCGCTACATGAAAAAGCACTTTTAGCAACTTTTTTTTAGTTACCAAAAATGTAATTTTCGTCATTGAAAGTATCAGCGACGCTTAAAAAAAGGTCGTTGAAGCCATGTCAATAAATGATTCGGCGACCAAATATATTATAGTCACCTTATAAATAAATTGGCAACCAAATATTTTAATCGCCAAAAACAAAAAAATTTGTCACCATACATTAACATTTAGTCGCTAAAAGTAGCCTTAAGCAGATGACATGTTATGTTTTAGCGACATATAAATGTGTTGCCAAATTATCTACTAGAGACAAAGCAAATTGGTTGTTGAATGTCAAAATTTTTGGCAACCAATACGTCGCATCTTGGTTGATTGGCAATATTGGTGATTCTACTTGCAATCACTGTTATTTTCGATCACAATCCGTTGAGATCAAAGACAGAAGCACTTGATTGAGTAGGCGTTTCAGGTATTGGTTGGGCTGCATCCACATGGTTCGATGTAATGTTGATGTCCACTAATTTGGGATTTGAGATGTTGGTGGGAGTAGGTAGAACTATTTGGTATAAGGTGTTGGAGTGCCAACAAAGTGTTTGATGAAAATTCCAAGTGAGTTTTGATGAAAATAATTGACGGTATTGGTTGGGGATGACTAAAAGAGAGGGTGTAGGGTGGTGGTAGTTGGTGATGGTTGATGGCTTAAATGGTGGTAGAGAGAATGTGGAGGGTGGTAAGGATGAAGCTTTATTTCTGCATTCTAATGGAGAGGGTGAGACAGATGGTACTATCGTGTTAAAGAAAAGATGTAAAGGGGTAAATAAGACATTTTTAAAAAATAAATAAATGTTAGATATAAGTAAAATCGATTAATTGACTTGACTTAATGGTTAATTAACAGAATGGTTTTTATAATGCAATTACAAACTTTTGGGAAGTGAATGTAATTTTTAGAATTTCAGGGATATTGATCTATTACCTGAAAACCTCAGGGGTATAATTTACCAAAACTAAAAGATTTTAAGTTTAGTAATTTATTTAGATATGTGAATAAGAAGTTGGAGGAAGGAGGGGTGGGGGTGTTTGAGCTTGTCATTTTCTGCAACCTACTTTAATTTTGAGATTTGATTAAGCTTTTTTTTAAGACATTTGAGATTTGGTTAAGGTTGAAGGTGCAAAAAATATTCAAAAAAATGTTTGGTGATCCGAATTTGTATGGTTCGAATGTGTCAAAAACGACGCCGTTTTGACACATTCGAACAAAAAAAATTCGAGTTACCTAACATTGTTGAAATATTTAAAGACAAAGTAGTATGTATTTTAATGAATAATATATAAATTGCAATCATGTTTCGGCGTGAATACATAGCTTAGATATGTAAAAAATGTTATGTAGCATTATTCAAAGGTTGATATTATATTATATATAATAAAAAGTATGGGTAACTTACAAATTCATTTATTGAGATTTGCTTGAAATACGAGTTGTCTCTTATGGTTTTGAAAATTACAAATAAATTTTTGTTAAAATTTTTATTTAACAAAATTAACAAAAAAATATAAAATTCTTAACTACTCTTCTATATAATAATAAAATTTATTAGAATTTTTAAGTGATGACATCATTAAAAACTGTTAATTAATTTAATGATTTATTAATAAAATAAATAATTTGTTATGTAATTAGAAATTTAAAAGGATTAGATGTAATTTCAAAATTATAAAAAATAATTTATATTTTAAACAAATATCATGAGATATATATAACTATATATAGAGAGAGATACATAGCTCCATTACTCCTCTCTGTGGTATTGGTATAAGAGTACATTAATTCTTCTATTTCTGACTGGCTCATATTTGAACAAGAAAAATTGCAATTCAGTGAAAGTTTTCAAAAAAAGAAAAAAAAAATCGAATCAATGGTAATATTTTTCATTAATTTGTAAATATTTTGTGAAAATTCCACTGATTTACAATTTTTTCTTTAAACAACTAATAAGATTTTTTTTTTGAGAAAAAAAAACAACTAATAAGATATAAGCCTGAAAAGGCAAAAGGTAATCAACTTTTGGATATATAGGCAGGGAGGAGGAGGAGAGGAGGAGGAGGAGGAGACCTCGGAAGGGCGAGGGTATCAGACATTTGAGAGTACCATACTAGTACTGTTCACTATTACTATTCCTGTCTCAGAAACAAGTTTATCAATAACGAAATCAGAGTCTCAGACTCATCCGGTACACACTATCATCACAACACAACTTCATCTCTCTCTCTCTCTCTCTCTCTCTCTCTCTCTGTCTGTGTATATGGTTTTATTATTATATCTGTTGTGTTGTTAGTATGCATGATGAGTGATTGTTTTGATTTTAGAGACCAAGTGAGAGAGTCAGGTGGACAATATGTACTCCATGAATCCAAGTTACTATGAATTGGGAAGCTGTTCTTCCAATTCTGTGAAGTTTCATCTTGAAGGAGGAGGAGGAGGAGGAGTGGTAAGCAGCAACTCAACAAACATGGCGAACTCAATGTCAATGGTGAGGTGGTCGTCGTTGAGATCGACAGCGGAGGAAGAAGAAAAGGGAGTTGGAGGAGGAGGAAGCAAGAAGAAGAGCCACAGTGAGGCCGAGAGCCGACGAAGAAAGCGAATCAATGGCCACCTCGCCACCCTTCGCACCCTCCTCCCTAATACCATCAAAGTAAGTTCGTTCATTCCTGTCAAACAAATGCTAGTTACCCTTCTATGTTATATTGTTCAGTTTATATTTTTTATATTTATAAATAAGAATTCCTTTAGTGTGTCTATTTTGTGTTAAAAAAAAATATTATAAATAATTTACGAATTTTATTAATTTTTGACAAATATTTTTTTCATTGGGTTATACAACAAAAAATGATGAATCTTATGTCTTAATTTTTTTTGATTAAATTCTTGTTTGTGATTTTGTTTGATGTAATTTGTTTAGTTTTTAAAATAAAAAAAATATGAATTGTAATTAAATTAAAGCTGTTTATACAATTGTTATTGATATTTTAATATGAAGGGTAAATTAAGAATAAAATATATAATTATAAAAAATTTGGCCACCTCGCCACCCTTCGCACCCTCCTCCCTAATACCATCAAAGTAAGTTCGTTCATTCCAGTCAAACAAATGCTACTTACCCTTCTATGTTATATTGTTCAGTTTATATTTTTTATATTTATAAATAAGAATTCCTTTAGTGTGTCTATTTTGTGTTAAAAAAAAATATTATAAATAATTTACGAATTTTATTAATTTTTGACAAATATTTTTTTCATTGGGTTATACAACAAAAAATGATGAATCTTATGTCTTAATTTTTTTTGATTAAATTCTTGCTTGTGATTTTGTTTGATGTAATTTGTTTAGTTTTTAAAATAAAAAAATATGAATTGTAATTAAATTAAAGCTGTTTATACAATTGTTATTGATATTTTAATATGAAGGGTAAATTAATAATAAAATATATAATTATAAAAAATTGACCTTTTTAAGAAAATTATTTAAAATATAATTGTTCACATTAAAATTTGATAATACTCATTACTAGTAATCTTAATATTAAAAAAGTACGTCTTCTTAATTTTTCAAAAAAAGAAAAAGAAAAAAAGTGATCTAAAACTCAACTCATATATGAGGGGTTTACATTTGGATGAATTTAGATCCCATACAATGTATCTAGGAAAAAGTTTAATTACTTTTTGTCAACACTTTAAATATACTGTATATCTTATATGATTTCATAACAAATAACAAATGACGCATCAGGTGCTACTAATACATCATTTTTATATGAAAATGTTAGCATTATATACTTTTGGTTCTTAAATAATGTACTTTCACTTTGTATTATTTTGATCTCTAATAGTTTAATTGTGTTAAATTTTATATCAAAATATTTTATGTGTTTGGAAAAAAGAATTAAAAATCAGAAAAAAAAATTGATTACCACATGTTTGGATCAAATTTATCTTTATAGAATTAGATGGCAAGTTAAATTTAAAAAAATAGATAAGTTATTTTGTTAAGATAAATATAATTTGATAACTACTGATATTCGATTAATTTAATTTATTTATTTTTTCATTCACGATCTATTGGGGACGGTCTCTCTCAATATACAAAACTAGACACTCAATGACCAAACAGTGGACTGCAAGAAAGCCAATTCCATACCATATTATGATGATTATTACTGACCGGAACTGCTATGAGAACAATTTTAACACAAAATTATTTTTGATGAAATTGACATAATTGAAATGTTGTCAAGTAAATGACAGGAAAATAAAATAGTGTGAAGATTTTGTATATTTATAAATTTTCATGCAAAGTTTGTAATTAATGGGTGAAGAAGTTAATGATGCAATTTATTTGACATGAAAAAATGGTAGACAGACAAGGCTTCATTGCTAGCAGAAGTAGTCCGAAGGCTGAGGGAGTTGAAGAAGACAACAACAGAATTGACACGGGCTGATAGTACTAGTACTACTAGTGACAATGGAAGTGGCCAATCTGGCGGATCAGCAAAAGAACATCACAACATGTTGCCAAGCGAGGCAGATGAACTCGAGTTATGTTACTGTGAGGAGGAGGGAGACTCGGCCGCGGGGACAATAAAGGCAACGATGAGCTGCGAGGATAGGCCGGAGCTGGTGTCGGACATGACGAGGGCGGTGAGGTCGGTGGAAGGGAAGGTGGTGAGGGCGGAGATGGCGACGGTGGGAGGGAGGACCAAGAGCGTCTTGTGGGTCCAAGTTTCGGGTGATAGTGGTGGCAGTGACGGTGACAGTAGTGGTGGTGAAAGGTTGGAGATGCTGGGGAGGGCACTGAAGATGGTTGTGGACAGGGCCTCTTTGTCGATGTCTGGGCCAGGCCAGGATTTGCCTGGGAATAAACGGCCTCGTCTCTATCACTACTGAGTTTTTGGGGGTTGGTGTTTGGACACTCCCAAACTAATGTTTGGGGGGACCAGTAAGTGTCATGGTCCTTGAATTATTCATTTTCTTTTAAGTTGAAAAAAAAAGAAAAAAAGAAAAAAAGAAAAAAAGAAAAAAAAAAAGAATATATAAGACAAATTATACATATGGTCTCTGTAACTTGCTTTTTGTGTCGGTTTTGTCCCTACGGTTCTAATTGTACGGATTTTGTTCTTTAATTTTTTATATTTTGTTAATTTAGTTCAATTAATAACATATGTTACGGATTTAAATAGGCATTAAGGTTTGTATTTAGATCATGAATTTGAATAAAAATTTAGAAAAAAAGAAAAAGAAAAAAGATAGATGAAATATAAATAAAATTTAATTACATTTCATAAACATTATACCTTTTCCTTTCAAAATCTTTACTCAAATCTAAAATTGAAACACAGCTTAAGGGAAAAATGATTCATTTAAAAAGAAATAAGTCATTTCGAATTAGACATCAACCCCTTAATCATTTTGATTTCAATCTAATTTTTTCAAACATGTTATCAAGGGTAAATTTGATACATTGATACAATTAGGACTATAAATACTGAGTTGATATACAAATTACTGAGTACAGACAAATTACATAAAGTGTAGCGAACTTGACATGAAAGATAATGGGACTACGATGATCATAATGCTGCTCTCATTTGATATTTTGGGTAGAATTGATGCAGGCATTTCCGTCTTAGCATTAATCGAGTTTATGGCATCACTCTTTCTTGAGAATTACATACCACTCAGTACGAAGATGACAACTACCACAAGATTTGCATTTTTTTTGGTGTCTGATTTGTTTTTCAAAGTATACCATCTGGTGATGTACTGATAATTTACAAACTTTCTTTGTTGTTTTTTTGTTTTCTAGTTAAACATTTTATTTTAAGTTAAAAGTAAACCTAATTTTAAAACTACTTGTCACAATATGCACTCATTGAAATCGAAGTTAAAATTATATTAAAAATCACATATTCAAGTTGTTGACTTTATACTAAATTGGCCAAATGCTGTTGTGAAGTAATCTTGCTTCACTGTCAACTTATAATGAAAATCTTTTTTTTTCACTGACCTAGCTAAGAGTAGAAACATGGAGGCTGAAATCAAGATTTTCAACAATGGCTGGTTGAAATCGTTTGAAATTTATAGCCTCAGCTGCATTTGCATTTAATGTTTTTACATTATCTAATTTATCTATAAATAGCCTATGTATCGTAGAGATCAGTGTGTGGGAGAAAGAAAATAAAAAAGAGAGAAGATTGTAGTTCATGCTCTATTTGTTTTTCAAAATTATTTGAGTGAATTTAAATTGAGTTTGGTTTAGTGTTAATCCTCTCATTGTAAATCTCCATAAGTGGTTTGCACTCCACTCCCACCAACAGTGGTATCAGAGCTAAAGATAGCTTGAATTTGCAGACATTCTACAAAATTTTCAAGAACAGAGCATCGTTTCAAATTTTGCCCAAAAATCAAAATTGTTGAAATCAACTTTTGATCACACCAGTGTGTAGTTCTCATTGAGACGATTACACTACAAAAAATCACGTTGAAATCCTAGTTCCATAGAGACCCACATGCGTCGTCGACGCCGTCACCACGTGTAGTAACGCGCCCACGTGCTGCTACGTGTCTTCTTCGCCCGGATTTGCACAGTCCAACCCGTTTGATGTACAATCCGATCCATTAGTTTGGATCTGGATCCGTATCCAGAAGCTGACGTCATTGACGACGTCGTAGCTGACATCAATCTGAGTCCAGCCACAAGCCAAGCCAAGCCGAGCCGAGCCATTGAGAGAAGTCGCGTCTCTAAGCCACAGACTGAGCCGAGCCACTGACATCATGCTGACGTCAACCGATCCGGAGAAATTATCCAGTGCTTCTCAGAATTTCCAGATTCAGCCGATCTGAACCGTTCAACTATTTTGGCTGGATCTAAGCCGTTTGAAGTCCGTTTTTGGTGATCCAATAGTGCTTTCCAACTATTTGGAATATTCTTGACACATTGGTATGGTCAGAATTTGCAAATTATATCCTAAAAATTTTCAGGTTTCTTAAATTCAATTCATGGCCAACACAAACAATTTCTTTCAGCCCCAGTTTCCAAAACTCAGCAAGGAGAACTATGAAAATTGAAGTATTCAAATGCAAGTCCTACTAGCCTCACAAGATTTGTGAGAGTTAGTGGATCGAGGATATGACGAGCCAGTTACTCTCGAAGATGAAGGAAATTTAAATGAAGCTTAGAAGACGACGTTAAAAGATTCAAGGAAGAAAGATAAAAAGGCCTTGTATCTACTTTATCAAGGCATTGATGAGTCAAGTTTTGAGAAGATTTTAGCAACAGTAACCTCTAAAGAGGCATGCAGTATTCTTCGCAATTCATACAGTGGAATTGAAAAGACGATCAGAGTTCGACTCTAGGTGTTACGTGGTGAATTTGAGATGCTGCATATGAATGAGAATGAGTCAATTTCTGAATACTTTAGCAGAACATTGACCATTGTTAATCAGATCTGAAGATATGGAGAGAAGATGGAATCTCTTCAAGTGATTGAGAAGATTCTACGATCACTCAGTCCTACGTTCGAGCACGTGGTTGTAGCAATAGAAGAGTCCAAGGATCTCAGTGCCATGACCACCGATGAGCTGATGGCCACACTTGAGATTCATGAACAAAGGATCAACAAGAAGACTCCCTCAAGTTCTCTAGAGTAAGCTCTTCAATCAAAGCTGTCTTTCAGAGGTGACAAAAACGAGCAAGGGGGGACATCACAAAGAAGCCGAGGAAGAGGCTGTGGTTATAATAATTGAAGTTCTAGTTTTCGAGGAAAAGGCAGAAGAGGTCCAGCCAGAGGAGGAAGAAGTCAACCACACTTTGCTCTAAGAAGAAGAGCAAGAGGAAGAGAATGTGGTTATAACAACTGACTATGATATGACAAAAGCAATGTTCAGTGCTACCATTGCCACAAGTTCAGGCATTACAACAATGAATGCCGAAGTATAGCAACAACAGAAGCCAGAGAACAAGTAAATTTTTCCGAGCAGGAAACAAACAAAGTCTGACCTATAGTCCTGTTTGTCCACCATGGAGATACTAAAAACTAAAACAATGTTTGGTATCTAGATTCGGGAACCAGTAATCACATGTGTGGTAAAAGAGAGTTGTTCGTCGAGCTTGACGAGACTGTACAAGCACAAGTCTCATTTGGTGATTCTTCAAAGACTCCAGTGAAAGGAAGAGGCAATATTTTGATCAAGCTTAAGAATGGAGATCATGATTACATCTCTAATGTTTATTATGTTCCTACCATGAAGAACAACATTTTGAGTATGGGACAACTCCTAGAGAAAGGATACGACATCAGCATGAAAGATTGTTATCTTACCATCAAAGACAATCATGGTAATTTGATCGCTTGGGTGAGAATGTCCAAGAATCGGATGTTTGCATTGAACATCCAACATGATGCTGCGAAGTGTTTAAGTGCCATCATCAAAGGTAAAGACTGGCTATGGCATTTGAGGTTTGGACATCTCAACTTTGGAAGCTTGAAGCTGTTGTCAAGCGAGAATATGGTGAAAGGGCTCCTTTATATTGCTCATACTAATGAAGTCTGTGAACGCTGCATTCTTGGCAAGCATCACAGAACTAGCTTTGCTAAAGAAGTGAAGTGGAAAGCAACAGAGCCGCTGGAGCTAGTGCACACTGACGTGTGTAGTCAATTGAAGCCAATGTCAAATGGACAGAATATATATTTTCTCACCTTCATTGATGATTATAGTCGGAAGACATGGGTGTATTTTTTTAAAAGAAAGTCGGAGGTATTCAATATCTTCAAAGAATTCAAAGCTTTTGTAGAAAAGCAAAGCGGCTACTACGTCAAGACATTGAGGTCAGATCAAGGTATCAAGGTGGGGAATATACATTTGATGTTTTTGAAAGATTTTGTAAAGAGCATGAAATCAAGCGTCAAACAACACCATCCTATACGCCACAGCTGAATGGTGTTGCTAAAAGGAAGAATCGTACAATCTTAGATATGGCAAGGAACATGTTGAAAGGAAAAGGATTGCCCAAGCAATTTTGGGCTGAAGCTATATCATGTGCTGTGTATCTACTAAATAGATGCCCAACCAGGAGCCTTCACTCTATGACTCCAGAAGAGGCTTGGGGTTCACATAAGCCAAGTGTCAACCATCTCAGAATATTTAGGTGTGTTGCGTACACTAAGATTCCAGAAGCAAGAAGAACCAAGCTTGATGACAAGGGAGAAAAATGTATCCTTGTCGAATATGGAGACAAAACATTGGGATACAAGTTATATAATCCCATTACCAGAAAGGTGATCATGAGTAGAGATGTGATATTTAAAGAAGAAGAAGCTTAGAACTGGAATCCAGATGAAGTTGTTAAAGATGCAGAACTCATTCTTGAAGATGAAACATCAAAAGCTCCGGTTGAAATCACAAGAGAAGTTCAAGATGAGCCACAAACTCCTCCACATAGAATTCCTGCACCTAGATCGCCAGTTTCTCATAGAAATGACGCATCATCATCATCATCATCATCACCATCATCAACATCATTAGATGATAGTTTTTTCAAACAACCAAGACCAATGAGAAATTTATAGGAGATACATGAAGCTACAGAAGAAGAAGATCTGAATTTGTTCTGCCTACTCGCAGATAAGGATCCACTTACTTTCTCAGAAGCCATCCAAGAAGATAAATGAAAGAAAACAATGTATGAAGAAATTCATGCCATTGAGAAAAATGACACATGGAAGCTTACTAGTCTACCGGAGGGGCACAAACCCATTGGAGTGAAATGGGTATACAAGACAAAGAGGAATACACAAGGCGAAGTGCAACGCTACAAGGCAAGATTAGTGGCAAAAGGTTACAAGAGGAGAGCTGGAATTGATTATGGAGAGGTGTTTGCTCCAGTTGCCCGGTTGGAGACTATCAGGCTAATGATTTCTTTGGCTGCCCAGCACAAGTGGCAGATCTATTAACTTGATGTGAAATCTATATTTCTTAATGGTTTTCTTGAAGAAGAAATCTATATTGAACAACCTTCGGGGTATGTTTAGAATGGGTATGAAGAAAAAGTGTACAAATTGAAGAAAACACTTTATGGATTGAAATAAGCTTCGCGTGCATGGAATACTAGAATTGATCAGTATTTTCATGACAATGGTTTTGAAAAATGC